CTTGAACAGGGCACTAAAGACTTGTCTTAGTGTTTTAATTACATAGTAAACAATTATGTTTGTTGGGGGTGTGTGAGTGCAGGTGTTGATGGAGGTTACAGGAGATAAAAACTCCTCTTCCCCACTCCTTAGCACACTTTAGGGCCTGTATGAGGAAAAGAGGTGTCCTGGCTTGGGCTTCCCTCCTGACAGTTGGGAAGGGCAGCTTCCCTGGACCCTCATCAGGTATTTGCAGCTTCTTAGTAGCCACGAATCTGAAAAAGGCAACCCAGGACCTCAAAAAGGTATAGGAGTTCAACCTATTATCTCCCCTTTTCCCCTGTCTCTGAGAGCAGCCCTCACTTGTGATTTTCTTCAGTAGCAACAATCAGAGTATTCCTGGTCACTGCCATGTGTCAAACACTGGGAACACATCAGGGAGTGAGGCCATGATCCCTCTTTCACGGAATTTTCTGTGTGTGCGTGTGTGCGTGTGTGTGTGTGTGTGAGGGGGGGTGGGCAGGCACGGAGGGGAGGGAGAGAGAGCCATACAAATAGTCAATCACAAGGTATTGAATATACTAGAGGTCATGCCTACCCTGTAACCAGCCTCCCCAAATAGATTCTAGAATCACAGCATGTTAGGTCCCCCCTTGAGAGCCTGAGGAAACTGAGGTTGGAACCCGGTGACAAGATTTGTCCAGAGGCATCATGGAAACTTGCTGGCAGACCCAAAGTTGAAACCTGGCCTCTGACTTCTGGCTTCATCTCCATACACTCTCCTCACCCAACCTGCCACCTTCAGCCCTGTTCCCCTGCTCCTGATACAGTAAGAACCTTCATTGAGGCACCTCCTTCACTGATGCTAGGTGGCACCAGAACACCTTCAAACAAAAAGACTCCTGGACTTGGTTCCTGTCTGACAATCTCATTGCTGGTGACCTGAAGTTTTGGCTGGGCGGCACTCCTCTGGTAGTGCTCTCAAAAGGCCTGCCTGCTCAGGGCATTGCCCCAGCTCATAGCCCCCACCTCCTTTATCAGTGGAGTCCTGCCTGGGTCCCGGGCTCCCCTGGGGTTCCTCTTTTTTGGTCACCTGGGAGGATTCACTCCTGTGTGACTGACTTCTTGGGGGCTCTCCATGTACATGAGAAGGACTGGCTGAGTGCCCAGTTCAGGGAGAGATATGTTAAGGCAATGCAGGAATGAATTCTGGTTCTCCCAAGCTGTTAGAATCTTCCTTATGGAAGCTTTTGTCTTGGCAGCAACCCAGCTGGACACGGTGGTTGTGGTCCTTTCCTAGGTCATGCTGTAGGTCTATGCCAGAGTTGGATAAAATTCAGGCTTACTAATTTTTAAGCCTGCACTGCACCACCTTGCCTCTCAAGAGAATGTTGATATGACAAGCCCCTCTGAAATCTGGTCCCCACCTGCCCCCCAGCCTCATCTTGCAGTCGCGTAGCCCTGTGGTCAAAACTACACTGCCGGGCACGGTGGCTCATGCCTGTAATCCTAGTGCATTGGGAGGCTGAGGCAGGTGGATCACCTGAGATCAGGAGTTTGAGACCAGCCTGGCCAATGTGGCAAAACCCCATCTCTACTGAAAAAAAAATACAAAATTAACTGGTGTAGTGGTGGGTATCTGTAATCCCAGCTACTCAGGAGACTGAGGCAGGAGAATTGCTTGAACCCAGGAGGTGGAGGTCGCATTGAGCCGAGATCATGCCACTGCACTTTAGCCTGAGGGAAAGAGCAAATCTCTGCTTAAAAAAAAAAAAAGCCTCTGGTTTCAGACTCTGCAGATTAGAATGCCAGCTCACTGCTTGTTAATTGTATGACTGTGATATGTTTATAACACATCAGCTTTACTTCTCTCTGTGAATGCGGATGTGGTAGATTTCAAATGGCCTCAGGTTTATTTACAGCTCTTCCCATTACAAGCGGAATGTATTTCCTATATCCTGGAAACTGGGCTGGCCTTGGGACTTGGTCCACAGAATGTGGTGGGCAGTGATGATGTGTGTGAGCTTATATCTCAAAGCCTTTGCAGCTTCTGATCTCACTCCCAGAATGTTGCTATGTGACGAGGTCAGGCCAGCCTCTTTGAGGATGAGATGCCATGTGGAGAGAGATCCCAGCCATACCAGCCAAGGCCCCAGACAGAAGCAAGTTCAGTTGGTTCTGCGTGGAACAGAGGTGAGATATCCTGGTGGAGTCCAGCCCCAAGTTGCCTACACACAGCATCATGGTCACAGAAATGATTGCTGCATTAGCTCACTAAATTTTGGGGTGGGTTGTTATGCAGCAGAAGCTAGCAAAAATAGGGGAGAGTAACCACCCTAACCTTATAAAGCTGCCGTGAGGTTTCCATGATGATGTGTGCTTAGACCATCACCTAGCACACAGTGAGCAAATACTCATTACTACTAACATGATCCTGACACCTCCTCTGTCTTCTTGGCTTCTAGCCACACCAACTTCCTTCCTTTTCCTTAAATACGCCAAACTCTTCTTCTTTGGGGCTTTTGTACTTAATTCTCTGGAAGGGCCCTTCTTTGCTGTCTTGGTCTTATGTCTGAGGTCTCAGCTGAAATATCTCCTTCTTGGAGAACCCTCCTCTCCTTTCATCTCCATTCTTGCCTCCTCTCATGGTGTGTAACATCACATTGATTGGCTTCCTTCATATTATCTGTCTCCCTTTCTAGACTGGGAATTTTTTTTAGCAGCAGGAAGTGGGCTTATTTTTGTTCCCTATTTTATCCTTGCTGCCTATCACAGTGCTATGTTGAACAGGTACGCAGGTGATACTGATTGAATAAATCAGTCTGGATTGGAGGTTGGCAGTGGGCTTCCAGGAGGAGAGGAGTAGCCAGGTTACAGTGCCAGATTGCACGTGCTGCTTCCAATCCTTACCGTCCTTTTGGTTTGTGTCCTACTTTCATGTTGGGTCCAAGAGCCGAGTATGTTCCTGATGCTCTATACTTTCAGTGGGGGTTGGTGGCATTGGATGTTCAACAAACATATGAGCTTCTCAAAGACAGATTGACCTCCTGATAAAACCTCACACATTGTCAGGCATTTAGTAGCTGCTTAACAGAAACTTATTGGATAGATAGATGTATGAATGAATAAATGAATGAGTGCAAAAGAGGATGGGTGGAAGAGAAAGCCCGCAGAACTAGTGATGATAATATAAAAGAAGAATAATATGAATTTAGGTTGGCAGGCAACTATGGAAAACCATGTTTGTTTTTTTTTAATAAAGGATAACATATTTCCAATCAGTAAAATATCATAAAAGTACAAAAATGTATTAAGTACAATCATTAGCGTTATGTTATAGGGGAATAGTTGTTCTAACTTTTCCCTGTAAGATGGCACATTGGGTGGTCACAGTTGGCTTGATTTACAGAGGTGCAAGAGTAGGTGACCAGTTGTACCAGTTGGCCCAGTTTCTTAGGATTTGGACCTCTGTAAAAATGAGAAAGTCCCAGGCAAACTGGGATGGTTAGTCATACAAGAAAACGAGCAGCATCAGAATGATGGCTATAGTTTGGAACTTAGGAAGAGGATGAGACATTTTTTTTTTTCAACTTCTCCATCGTCTCTTTTCCCCTTAGCCCTGAAATAAAAATCCCTTTTGTTATTACTGAGGGTGTTACAGCTTTCTGAGGCTTTTTACCACTGGGTTTCATGTAATTTTGACTTAATACTTATATCAAGCCTGGGAAGAAAGGCATTTCTAACCAACTTGCAGGTGTGGCATCTTGCTTCAAGGCTCCTGCATCCTAGGGAGAATGGAGGCAGAGCAAGGACTCAAACTCAGATCTCCTAAGGCTACTGTCCGGTTCTTTCTGGCTTTTAGTAGTAGCCAGAAACTGTTTGAGTGAAAAATCGGGGTACCTGAGATCCAGGTTTTGACTCAATCCCCTCACTAGGAACAATTCACATCATCACTGCTTTTCCTGGTATGTGTACCTGTCCCTTCCTGGGCAATCCTCTTGCAGGATTCCCCCAAATACCCACCAGCTGGCTAGTCCTGGCATCGTTATGTAGCAGAGGCAGTGAGACACAGCGCATTGGCTCCAGGAGGCTGTTGTAAATGGTCCTTCCCGTCCAGGTTTGGCAGGAAGATGGTCAGAGGCCCAGCTCCCTGTGCTATTTGCCAACTTGATTGAATGTTTTCTGGCATCTTTGCTGAGGAGTTACTCAAGTGATAGGTCAACTCATGGCTGGTGGCATGACTTGTAGGCTCAAAAGACTCACCACACTTAGTGCATCTATTTCTGTACTTTTTGCCTAATGTATAGGTACTAGCTTAAGGTGGCCCAGTAACCCTTTCTGACTTATTTTACAAGACTAGGGTTATGATATACTTTCCCAGAGCAGACTTGGCTTCTCTTGACAGCCTATTAAAATTCTACTGTTCATTCTTTTAACACTGTTTTGAGCTCTTTTATATATTTGACACTTATAACCTTTAGGGATAGGAAGTCTATATAATCTTCCTTTACCTGTGAAGTGACACTTCCTCTGACTCTCTCTAACTGAAGGAGGCCAGTGTCTTCCAGAGGGTGGTATTCTGGAATAAGCTGAACGGGGTTTCATGTTAGCCCTACCCTTGAAGATGTTTAAGCTCTAGGTTGCTCTATCATATGGGCCTTTTCTGGGTACAGATGTGCTTATATCTCCTGCTTAACAGGGTTATTTTTTTCTTTTGTTCTAAGAGCTGAATGAGGATGAGTAATTTTATTTAAAAATAAATACAATAAATAGCTTTAAAAAAGTGCCACTGGATGGGTGTGGTGGCTCATGCCTGTAATCCCAGCACTTTGGGAGGCCAAGGTGGGTGGATCATGAGGTCAGGAGTTTGAGACCAGCCTGGCCAACATGGTGAAACACTGTCTCTGCTAAAAATACAAAAATTAGCCGGGCGTGGTGGCAGGCGCCTGTAATCCCAGCTCCTTGGGAGGCTGAAGCAGGAGAATCACTTGAACCCAGGAAGCAGAAGTTGCAGTGAGCCGAGACCATGTCATTGCACTCCATCCTGGTTGACAGAGCGACTCCATCTCAAAAAAAAAAAAAAAAAGGTGCTGCCTATGTCCTCTTGTCAGATTCCCCAGATGTTGGGACATATGGTCTGTCAACCAAAACAGGGGTCTCTGGTGCATCTGTTCCCTTTTGCATTCTTCATGCCTCTTACGCTAGCTGTGATCCTACAACCCTCAGAAGAGTCTGTGGCACTGAGTTCAAATACACTTTATATCTTTAGATGTGGCTTTTCTTTGGCTTACAGACAAAAAGCAGAACCAACTCTCTGTGCATGGAAGGGATAACCCCAACTCAGCCATCATGGCAATACACTTGAGATGAAGCCCTAAGTCTCTTAGGGCTGCCCAAGTCTCTTCTGAAACTTTAACTCTGGGCATAAATAAACTCAGTTTATTTACTGAAAGGTAAATAAACCCAGAAACTTCCATACCCTGAGATATTGCTTGGGTTGATACACTTCTTGGAATCTTGGAAACTTATGGCCCAATTGCATTGGATTGTAGGCTGCACTTATCTAGAGGGTCAGAAGAGTGGTTTTGGGTTAAACCCATTTGAGAACTCAATGCAACAAAAATAGCCTCCTTATCTAAACTCTGCAAGATGTGCTGCCTGGCAGCCACAGAAAACTAGAGGCCGACTGGTTTTCCAGTCATTGTGTCAAACCCCTTGGGACCAGCACTTCCTCCAAAGAAGTCAATCTTATTGGGGAAAAAAAAGAATAACTCTGGCACGATGTTTCCTCTATGAAGAGGAAGGAGTCAAGGGTTGCTTGGGCCAGTGATTGGGTGGCCTCTGTTGAGTTTGTATGGATTTCTGTAGCTCCTCATATGGTCAGTGAACTCTGGGATCGGCGATGGCTGCCCCTCTTTGGGTACTGGGACATATCTGTCTGTCCTCTTGAGTAGGCCATTGTTCTATGAGGCCCCAGCAGGTGCTCTCCAGATGAAAGTTTAGCTGAGGAGTCCCCTGAGCATGAGTCATCCCTCATGCACTCTCTGCCGCATCTCTGTTCGTGGATCATCCACTCTTCTGTGTTCTTCCTCTTGGGAGGGTTAGAGCTCTTTGGGGTGCTGGCACTGAAGTCCTGTTCTGTGACAGATGACACTGAGTGGCGGGTGGGTCGAGCCACTTCAGGGGCAGGGACAGGCCTCTGTCTGCTTTTCCAACTCTGGATTTCTAGGTTTCTTTTGTCTGTGGGGAGTTTGTCAATTTTTTGAGCTTTTGAGATTAAAGACTTCCCATAGGTTCCTTGTAGAGATAGGAAAAAGCACCTGGTGGGAAATAACAGAAAAAGATATTTTCTGATTTCTGTTGACTTCATAAACTTTAGCATTGAAAGGGGGTCTTTACAATCCAACTCCCTGCCCAGGGCAAGATCCTCTTTACTGCACTCCTAGCTGATGATTATTAAATCCATGTTTGGGCACCTCTAGTCTTGGGGAGCTCAACAACAAAAGTAACAACAACAAAACATAAAAGGTAACATTTATTATATACCAGGACTATTCTAAGTGCTTTATATGTTATTAACTCATTTTATTTGCCCAACAAGCCTATGCAGTTATTACTTTTGTTTTCTTCTGCATACAAATGAGGAAACTGAGGGACTGAGAGATTTGATGATTTGCCTACAGCCACACAGTAGTTGAGCTATGGTCAGGAGCATGTACTCTGAATCCAAAGACTTGTCTCTTATTCTTCATGCACAAAGCAGTCCTTTCTATTTCTGGGCTACTCCAATTTAGGCAAATTTAATTGGTCTGTCATGTTAAGCCTTTGTGAAACTTGATGATTTTAAAGTAGTTTTAAAATCCATATTCTTTTCTTGAATCTGTGGACCTTGCTGACTTGACAGTGTCATCATAGTACCACGATTTTCCCGATAAAGAAGTAAGGGCCCTAAGAGGTGAGGTGGGATTCCCAAGGTCTTCTGAGATGTTAACAGATCTCCCTGTCGACTGACTCAAGGTTTTTAACCCCCTGCCAAGCTGCATACAGTCTGTAGTAGACTCTGGAATTGGGAGTCTTTTTCTGTGTTTAGAATCTTCCCTTTGTTCAAAGCGTAGGCAAGGAAAATGGGTGAGAATGTGAATAAAACTAGGTGATGTATGGAGAAAATATACACAAGCTTGTGGCACTGGGCAACTCACATCCAGTTTCTGGATGTCCATTGCTTTATCTAAAAAGTAATCCATTTGGCCTGGAGTACATCTAAGGTCATTCCCAAAGACAGTCTTTAAAAATTTTTTAGGTTTAAAGCCTTATAAGCAGGAAGGCTCCCATTCTTCCGCTATGTCTAAAAGCTGCAAGGTGACCACCCTGCCGCAACCCCCACCAGTGGGCAAGAAGTTTCTGAAAATTACAATAGATCTCGTGGAACCAGATAAACTTTTCTCCATTCTCTCTCATCTCACCCCGGGAGGTCGTAGTGACCATGTATGTGTCCCAGGAAATATTTGACTTTTTGCTTCAAAACTGGAATTTCCTTAGTGTAAACCTTTCCCTCAAGCCACTGTCTTCCTCCTCCATTCGTTTATTCAACAAATGCTTTTCTAGTTGCCACAATGGGCCAGGCCCCCAAGGGATTAAGCCATGAATAGGAAAGACAAGGTCCTTGCTGCATGTAACACGGGAATATAGTTATAAATAGAGAAGGCAATGAGAGTGTCAGACACCTGCTCACTGAAATTAAATGCTTCTTCCTCAAGGGAGGAAGTGCTGACAGTTCCACCTGCTATATATTTCTCAAGCCCATGCCCCATCAGCACCTAACTGTTTCTTCCTTAAAGAAATGTCCCTCCATTTATAACTGGATTTACATGTTACATGACAGCAAAGATCTTGTCTTTTGTGTTGATGACTCAGTTTCTTGGGGGCTTGGGCCATTGCGGGGACGTGAAAAGTATTTGTTGAATAAATGAATGGAGGAGGAAGGCAGTGGCATGGGGGAAAGGTTTACACAAAATAACCTTTTAAAGCTGAAAACTGCAAGATGCATAGGAGGTAGCCACACCAAGGGGATGAGAATCAAAACCTAGGTACAACTGGCTGAAGCTTGGGGAGTGATGATAAAAGCAGAATATGACCCAGGAGGGGTTGGCAGAAGCAGAGCAGGCAGGAACTGTGGACCAGGTTTATGGTTTTTGTGCTTTATTGCAGAGGTCTTGGGAAGCCCTTGGAGGGTTATGAACAGGTGACATGATCACACTTTGAGCCAATGTTAATGGACTAGAGTGAGATCCAATAGGAGACTCGTGAAGTAATTTGGGGTGAAAGGGCAATAGTCTATTGGTAGTAGTGGCTGTAGAAATGGAAATAGTATATGGGTTTGAGAAATACATCGTAGATAGAACTGTCAGTACTTGGTGAAAGGCTAGATATAGGCATGAGTTGGCAGGTGATGTCAAGAATAATTTCCCGGGGCCTGCCTTTGTCCTAAATGGGTAGTATTTACTGAAAGAAACTCTGGAGATACCCAGATTTCTGGGGTGGTGCTGGTGACAGAGGGTGGAGTCATGAATTCAATTAGAAATGTCTCCCAGTTTCCTCAGACTTAATATGCCCAGAGGAGGTGATGAATAAGTTGCTAGAAAGATGTGTGTGGAATTCATAAGAGAGGTCTGGGCTGGGAATTTATGGTGAAGAGTCATCTGCTAAAAATAACTTTTAAATCCATGATAGTGATTGCTCTTTATGGAGAGAATATAAAGTTAGAAGACAAGAGAATGTAGGGACAAGAGAAGCTAGGTTAAGCAAACCACCAAACTTAAAGGAAGTAAGGCTGGTTGATGGCTTTCTAATTTTGGGATAAAACAAGTTCTGTATAATGTTGTTGTAATTGTCTATTGGTTATAACTTAGAATGATAAAATGCTTCATAGTGACGTTCAGGGTTGTGAGATACTCGGGATGGAGAAAGGCTAAGTCTTGCCTGTGTGCACATCATTGTCAAGTTCACTGCTCTGACTAGAGAGTGTGGGCTGCCAAATAGAACACTGGCCTTTGAGTTGGGAGAACCTAGCTCCCACTATGATTTGTGTTAGGCCTGTGAACACATTCTGGTCCCTCTTGGTACTTCAGCTGTCCCATGAGCGGGGTACTAGAACCATAGGTCTGCCCAACACTTAGCTCACGGCAAAAACAAAATGAGAGGCTAGATGGGAGAGCCTATGTCAAGAGTGAGCTCCAAGGAAAGGCAAGTCATTTATAGTTGCTGTTGCTGTTTTTCTGGAAAAGATACATTTACTGCAGAGGGTTTAACCTGGAAATATCCAACGTAGTGCCTGGGCATGGATAATTTATTTGACTAATGCAGGTCTTGTATGGAAGGGGTGCGTTTAGACAAATTTGAATAATATTTAAACATTGCCAATTTCATGCAAAATCTGAATCTCTGAGACAACTCTGAAGCATTTGATCTTTCCTTGTGGCCATGATGGAAGCTGAGACGTTCTTTCTTCTAATGTCTGCCCTCCATCTGGCTTGCTGCACTCACTGGCTTGTCCCTGTAGGTATTTGAGTATGAGATTCCTGAACTAATATAAAAAAGAACCATAGAGCAGCTCAAAATAGTTCCTTATCACACACACACACAAATTATAAGGCAGGAGAGTGTGGGAATTGATATTCCCATTTTATAGATGTCACAACTGAGGTCACACTGACTTGACTTCACTACTTTGTGGCTAACCTGGGACCACAGTCCATGTTATTTGCCTCCTGGTTGTTCATTGTTCTTTCTATCCTAGCTCTCTTTCTGAAACAGTACCCTCAAGGATCTTAGCAGAAGTCAAACTCCTGACTCTTAGGTTATAAAAATGGCTTATTAAGGGGAGATTGGTAACTCTAGTAAAGAAAAATAGCCCCAGTGCTCAAACCTTGGGAGAAGAGCCACAACTGGTGTGAGAAAGCAGACGAGGTAGAAAGTGGGGTCTGAGAGCTGGCCTTCCATCACCCAGTAGGGATTTGTGGGGCTGTTGCAGATGACGCAGGTGGCGTTGTACAGGAGGGATACCAGAAAGTACATCAGGAAGCTGCCGAGGAGCACGAGCCCATGGAAAATGGTCTGTGGAGGAAAAGAAGTAAACACTGTTGAAGGTATAGCTGAGATTAGGGAGCAGGGTGGTCACACTACTTGGTTAACTTTGTTTCAAACTATTTTTGAAATGCAACACACACAAAATTCAAAAAGTGTGCAGTTTAATATATCTTTATAAAGCAAATGCCCAAATTGTTGCCATGTAGAATTGAACACACATACCCTGGAAGACCCTATTCTTCTGTCTCAGCCTGCTTTTGGTGATAATTTCTATGCTATCCTTTGTAGGTTTACCACCCATCTAGGTTTCCCTACATAGCCTGTTTTTGAATGTTGGATAAATAGAATCATGTTTCATGTGAGACTTTTTGTCCTCCTACTCCCAAGTTAATATGTTTAAACCCTAATCTCCAATGTGACAGCATTTGCATGTGAGGCCTTTTGAAGGTGATTAGGAGGAGCCCTCCTGAATGGGATTAGTGCCCTTATAAGATGAGACAGGAGAGAGATTTGATCCTTCTTTCATTCAGCCATGTGAGTAATAATATAGCTTGAAGGCAGCGGTCCAGGAAGGAAGTGGGCCTGAACCAGACACTGAATCAGTTGCTGCACTGATCTGGGGCTTTCAGCCTCCAGAACCATGTGAAATAGATCTCTGTTATTTAAGCCACCCAGCTTGGTGACAGCCTGATGACAGATGTTACAACAGCCTGAGAAGGCAAAGACACTTCTGCAGCTTTTTTCACTTGATTTTATGCTTTAAAAAAGGGGTTCCCAACTCCTGGCCCATGGACTAGTAACAGTCCATTCCCATTAGGAACTCGGCTGCATGGCAGGAGAGGAGTGGTTGACAAGTGAGCATTGCTACCCGAGCTCCATCTCTTCTCAGATTAGTGGTGACATTAGATTCTCACAGGAGCATGAGAACCCTATTGTGAACTGCGCATGTGAGGGATCTAGGTTGGATGCTCCTTATGAGACTCAAATGCCTGATGATCTGAGGTGGAACAGTTTCATTCCAAACCACCCCACCCTTCAGCTGTCTTCTACAAAACTGGTCCCTGGTGGCCAAAAGGCTGGGGACTACCACTTTAAAGTTTTATCTATGCTGAAAGACATAGCTCTCGTGCATTCATTTTAACTATTATATGGTATGAACATGCCACAACTTATTTTTCTCATCGATGAACATTTAGGCTTCTTTTTTCTTGTATATGTCTCCATATATACATGTGCAAGTGCTTCTGAGGTGTATACTTAAAATTGCACCAAAAAGTATGAGTACTTTAAATTCCTCTAGCTGTTTTCAAATGACTCTTTAGAGTTTATGATCTACTAACAGGATATGGGAGTTCCTTGGTTATGCTTTATCATCTTTAACACACTCCCCAAATGAATTGTCAGTATTTTATTTAGAATTTTCTACATCTGGCTGGGTGCAGTGGCTCACACCTGTAATCCCAGCACTTTGGGAGGACAAGGTGGGTGGATCACTTGAAGTCAGGAGTTCAAGACCAGCCTGGGCAACATGGTGAAACCCTGGCCTCTACTAAAAATAACAAATTAGCTGGGCATGGCGATGTGTGCCTATAATCCCAGCTGCTTGGGAGGCTGAGGCAGGAGAATCACTTGAACCTGGGAGGCGGAGGTTGCAGTGAGTTGAGAATCACACCACTGCACTCCAGCCTGGGTGACAAGAGTGAGACTCCATCTCAAAAAAATTTTTTTTTTCTACATCTGTTAATTAGTGAGATTGGTCTGTAATTTTCTTTTCTTGAATTTCCCATGCCCATTTTGATATCAGTTATTCTAGCCATGAAAAATGAATTGCTTATTGCTATGGTTTAAATGTATGTGCTTCCTCTAAACTCATATGTTGAAAACTAATACCCACTGTGATATTATTAAGAGGAGGGGCCTTTTAGAAGTGATTAAGTCATGAAAGATATTCTCATGAATGAATTAGTGCCCTTTTAAAGAGGATGATAGGAGCATCCTAATGCTTTTTTGCCCTTCCACCATGTGAGGACACAGTATTTCATCTATTTATGCCTTGTGAGGACACAGCATTCATCTTTTTTTGCCTTTCTCCCCTCCACAAGATGCAGCAAGAGGACATAATCTTGGAAGCAGGAAGCAGCCCTCACTGGACACTGAAACTGCTGGTGCCTTGATCTTGGACTTACCAGCCCCTAGAACTATGAGAAATACATTTCTAGTCTTTGTAAATTACCCAGTCTCAGGTACTCTATTGCAGTAGCATAAACAGACTAAGACACTTATCTTTTTCTATTTTTTCATTCCATGACAAAATTGATATAGAAGGTTACCTGTTATTTATAAGTTTGATCAAACTTTAAATCCTTTGGGTCTCATGTTTTTGGGGATAGAATTTGGCTCATTCAGGCTTGCTGAATGATTTTTGACTACATTTTGGTAAATTTTACCAAACTTAACATTACTAAAATTAATTTAACAAAGCTAAAATTTTTATATTCCAATTTTGTTCATTGATCCAATAATGTCGTCAAGGTATGTTTTTTTCCCCTTCAGTACAGAATCCAGTTTAGGGTCAAATATTATATTTAGTTTTCATGTCTTTAGTCTCCTTTAATCTGGAATATTTCATAGCTTTTGTCTTTGATGGAATTGACATTTTTGAAAAATACTAGAATACTCTCACCCTACCAACCATCTTTTTGTTTAAAAAAAGAATGATGCTCATTTTACATTTGTCTGATGTTTCCTTATGAGCATTATTCAGATTATACATTCTCTAGCTGGCTATGTGATCTTGGCAAGTTGAATACCCTGTTTGAGCCTCAATTTCCCTATCTATAATAAAAAAGCATTGGATTAAATGATGATTAAAATCCCTTCCTAGGGATTCTATTTAGGATTCATTTTTCATATAACACCAACCCTCTAAATTCCTTTTTTTCTTCTAAAAGGAAAAATAAGTGGATTAAACAAATTTAAAAAAACCTAAACAGCCACAATCAATTTGAGATTCATTCATTTAACAGATAGTTATTGTTCACACATTGGCCAGGCTCTTTTGACTAGATGGTACAAAAAACCAACCGTTACTGACTTGAGCTATAATAAGCCTAGAGGCAGGTTTAGCTTCAGGCAAAGCTGGATGTAGGCACTCAGCAATGTCCTATGGATTCTGTACCTCTCCCTTTCTTCATCCTGCTATCCTCTCTGTTGGCTTCATTCTCCAGTAGTCCTTTCTACATTATGGCAAAAATTTGCCAGTTGCTCCAGTCTTCCAAAAAATTGGCTCAGCAACCACAGTGCAAAGACTGCTCCTGCTTCCCAACAAAAATCCTAAGGCAGGGTCTGATTGGCCAGGACTGGGTCATATGTACATACTTGAACCAATCACTGTGGATGGGGTGGGGTAGAATTGTCTGGATGGGGTTCTGGATCATGTGTCCTTTTCCAAAGCCAAGAGACAGAGCCTGCTCTGCATTGTGTATCAGTCAGGGGAGCAGAGTCACTGTGATTGTCTAGGATAAGAGAATTGCTACAGGGACTAGACCTCCCATAATTGTAAGAAGAATGGGAAAGTGAAGCCTAGAAGAGGACTTAAAGGATAAAAGTCACCAAATTGAGAAACCAAGCACATCCAACTGCAGATGTGACTGCAAAAAGGTGATGGAGAGGCTATGGGAAGCAATTGGCATTGAGTCTACAGCCAGGAATCTGGCCATGAGCTTAAGCTAGCATTTGGTAAGCAGGGTCAGAAGTTAGGAAAGAGAACTGAAAGCAGCATAGTGCAGTGCAGTTATGAAAACAAATCACAATTCAGTTCAATAAGTGCTTAATAAGAAGAATCACAAGGTCACTGGGAGCTCAAGGGGTTACAGAATCCAGTCTATATACCAAAGAGGGCCTCTTGGAGGAGGCAAAACATTTGAGATGAGGCCTGAAGGATGAGGAGAGAGCCAGAGGAAATGGGGGAAGAGGGAGAGAAATTAGCAAATGCAGAGGCCTAGAAGTGAGATAGGGTATTCGAGAACTAAAACTAACTTGGTCTGGCTGGTGTCTAATATGAAGTAGGAAGCATCACTGGTAATGCCAGGGGGACAGCAAGAGCCAGATATTACAGGCCCATAAGTGAGGTGTTTGGACTCTGTCCTAAGAGCAATGGGGAGCCATGGTAGGATGTGAAGCAAGGGAGAGGTAAGTGTCATAGGTAGATGTTGGCACATTGGAGATGGGAGGATCTTCTGAACACATCTTCCTCCCAGGAAACATCCAAACACCTTAGCTGGAACGCTGATCCCTGTACCTTCAAGAGTTTGCTAGCTTTAGTTTCCTTCTCTGAAGGTAATCTGGGGAATATGGCATTGGGAATGTGATAGCATTCGTTCTAATATTTACAACTGCAAGTGACAGTGTGCCTGGCTGATAGTGGCTTAAACAAAGAAGAAATATAATCTTTTCTAGCAAAACATCTGAAGGCTGGCAACTCCAAAGTTGTGGCAGAGGCTCAGTGTGTCCAAGAATCCAAGCTCTTCTCATATTTCTGCTCTGGCATCTCCAGCAGTTGTCTTTGTCCTTAAACTCACTGCCTGAAACAGTGGCTGCAGTGCTACATATCATTTGATCACAGGACACTGACAAAAACAGGAAGGAAAAGGTGGGACAAAAGGCTTTACTTCATGACCCTATCCTATTAATAAAACAAAGTCCCAGAGTTCGCTTGACTTCTCATTGGCTAAGAGCTAGATCATGCGCCCACCCTGGACCAATCACTGCTGAAGGGAGAGGAATTACTGCTCCTACTTAAGACAGATCATTATTGATTTGCTGGGGCTGGAGAGCAACCCAAACTAGGGGATTTCTAACCCTTAGGTTGGTACAAAAGTACTCGTGGTTTTTGCCATTAAAAGTGCTAGTATTTTTATAGTCATTCAGCAAGAGGTATTTATAATTTCCATCATGACTTACTCTATTTCATAAGTTGTTTAGAAGTGCCTTTCGAAATTTCTAAGCGTATTAGGCTTTATGTGGCCACCTGTTTATTGCTGGCTTCTAATTTAAATAACTTGCTGTCAGAAAACATGGATTTTAGGATTTTTTTCTTTCAAATTCCTTTGTGATTTAGAATTCTCTCTGGGAACTGATCTGTGTATGTTTGAAAAAAATGTATGTTATTTGGTTTGAGCAAAGTTTTATATATTAGATCAAAC